GGCGTGTTTAAACTTGAAAAAAAAAAAAAAGTAAATACATTACAATGAGTATTTCACTTTATTATTGTTTATTGGCTAGTTCAGACCAAAAATTAATAAAATAATAAAGAAGTTTTTTTTCCTTGACTAAATATCATGCTACAAAATATGCAAAAAATGATTTTTTTGTCATTTTTAATCTACGTTTTCATTTGAAGCCGCAAATATCCCATAACTTTTTTTTTGTTATTATAGTTCTTTACCTAGTTAAGTACCTAAAAGTATAAAATCACCTATGGGGAAGTAAAGGCTTAGCCTCAAAATTCAGCTCAAAAACGAAATTCTAATCTTTTGACGATCTTGACACGATTTTGATTAAAGCCCTGGGTTCACTGTAAACTTCAATTTAAAAAAACTTGTATTGACCTTTAATCTACCTTATTTATAAAAAATACCTATGGGGTATTGCAATAGTTCAGAAAAAATAACATAATTAGTATAGATGTTTTTTTGGTGCATCTATATATATTTATAAGCTTGAATGCAGTATGTTTTCTTGTTACTCTATCATATTTTTTGAGTATAATTTTTACTCCAAATATGTTTCCTGAGTATGATTTTGAGTATTATTATTATATATTATAATAAATCTCTTTCGGTTTTTTTTTTTTGTTAGTTAAGATTTTTTACTTTTTCAAAAACATTTTAATTAAATCTTATTGATCAAAGGATCCGTGGTTCAAACCCCTCTCTGGGCAAGTTTTGCAATATTAGTTAGGAAGGAAGCGGAAACTTCCAATTAAATGCTTATCTGCGGTGGTACCTAAAAAAATTAAGGTAACTAAAAAAATATAAACAACTAGATGACAAAACAGCATTTTGGTTGAAAGATTATTCACAGAAGATATTACCCGTGAAGTATACATAGGATCAGAAGGACTACTTTGGGAAAAAAGCATAAGTATGCATATAGATATTTTTTTTACCTAAAAAATGAGATTCTCAAAAAACATGTTCATCAAACAATTTTATATCACTGCAATCAAGGTGTTTGCTCTGTTATCTCTATTGCGAAATCAGTTCTAAATCAGATGAGCCAGAAAAAGTAAAATTTTTGCAAAATAGAATAATGCTAATTATTCAATTGAATTTATGTACAAGCAAAAAATAAAATTTTAAACTTCCATGTACAACTTTAACGAGCCTTGGTGTGGAAAAGACCAGTTTCATAGGAAAAGTGCATACGCTAAAACAATACTAAGATGTTATGTATATGCTGGCAATTACATAGTAACAGCAGTAGATGTTGCAAAAGCAGTGAAATATGGTTATGGCGTCAAAAATGGTGTGGTTAGTGTAGCAAAAATTTAGTATGTTTATTTAACTGGTCTTAAAATTCTAAATATAAGCAACTACTACTCTTATGAGTTCCAAGAAAACTACATGACTTTATGGCGATACTATGAAATTGGAGATGGAGTTAAAGTTATTTACAACAACCTTTCAGTTAAGTTAGTATCAATTGAATTGATTGTTTCATTCATTAGTATGAAAAGAAACTTTAAGCGAAAAATCCTGAGTGGAAAGGTTCCATAAATTAGTTTGGGCATTGCCAACAAGATAGACTTTTCATTTTTTCATTAAGCTGAATAAACTTCTTTATAAATACTTCATAAATAAAGAAAATATAGGAAATAAGATGTCACCAGCAGATGTAAACACAGGGATAAAAAAATATCTTACAGCTAATAAGTTTGTTTCAAGCCAACAATTAAGACCTTTTTCTCTAGATGGAGTAAGCTATTAAGAATTGGAAAACTGACTGCTTCGTCTAAAGAAGAAGACAATAACAGTGAAGTTGAAAAAGAAGAAGCCGAGAAATATCAAGAAGAAATACATAAACTTGCAATCAAACTTTCTTTTATATGGTTGAAAGATAATTGGGTGGCAGTTGTTCACAAAAATCAATGGTATTCAAGAGTTGTTTCAGAAGTAAAATTTTGCATATATTGTTAAACCAAAAACTTACGATACATAAAACTAAGTAAAAAGCAATAAAAAACAATACATCAAAAACAATATTAAAACTTAAATGATTAGATATATTCAGATAACTGAAGATGGTACATTAATTAACTGTATGAAAAATGTTTCATTTGGAACAAACTGTTATTTTGTTTTTAAAACTTCATTCATTGATTACGTTATTAAACTTTCTTTCAAAACTTTATTTTTAGCCCATTTCTTCATAAGTTTTCTAGCTTTCTCAAAATCATTTTTTGTCACCCTGGTGATTAACAAAAAGTAATCACCCTGGTGATTGGCAAAAAAAAAAACAGATATGTCACACCCCTTCTCTCTTTAAAATCTCTTCGGGACGGACTTGAGTATAAGATTTTAAAATAAGGAAATTTTTTTTCAATCAACATTTAAATTTTATTGATAATTTTTTTAAACATTCTTTAATTAAAAGATATTTCATTTTAGAGACTTACAATAATTTCTTAAATGAGATTTTGCAACCGACATAATTAAACTTTTAACAATATAAATATCTTTATTAAGTAAAATTACATTTATTTGCATTGCACTTTTCCGTTACGCATCAAATTCTCATAACAAGGGCTGATAAATATATAAAATATATTCCTAGATTTAGTTAATAACCCCTGCTAAAACTATTAAATAGCGGAGCAGGTGGTTTTTATAAACTCCAGAAATACGTAGGGCACAAACTAGTGACCTGGTCATTAAGTATCATCATTTTAGCATACTGATAAATTTTTAAAAAAGGATTACATAATATTTGTTACACAAGCACAAAAATAAATTGTGTTAAGATAACACAGATAACACAACTTATTTGCTCTTGCTTATTTATTTGTAGAGATTCTACCTAATTTTAAGTAATGATTCGAATTTTACAATAAAATTGTAAATTAATAGCTACTTGGGCTAAAAAAAATAGTCTAGAAAAAATAGAAAATAAAATTTATATTACTTATTATATTTTAATTTTTCAAAATTAAATCTTAACTCTTTTTGATCAAATCTCTATAAAGTTATTTTTGATAAAGATTTTTTCTAAAGATATATCAGGGGTTATTCTAGGAAAAAAATTTTGGCGGCGGTACCCCCTCATCCTGGAGAAATTTAGGGGAAACAAAACAATATTCGCTGTAAAACATAAAAAAAAAAGGTCCTTAAACTTTAATTTAAGCTGCACCCAAACACAGTCGACCCTGTCAATAACGGTCTTGAATAGCCCCTGTATATACTAGAGAATACAAAAACTGGTATTTGACCATTTTATTATTGACATAAACTTGCCTCAAAAAACATTTGCAAGTGTTACACAGCATATGTTTTAAACAATTTTCATAGCAACAATATAAAAGACCACTGTTAAAACAAATCTAACACGGTTGTTTCACTCAATATAAAAGCGAGCTTGACGTCACAAGAATTTTTGTGTTTAAAAAAAAAAAAAGAATTTTTGCATAAAAAGTATAAAAATTCACCAACTTTAAATTTTTTTCTATAAATGCTTTCATCTTTAAACTAAAAAAATATAAAAGAACAATCTATCTTCGCTAAGTAAATATTTATATTAAACGAAATAAAAATAAACATTGTTAAAATATCTTAAATGATTTTGGATCACTTTTCTGTTTTTCGATTTTTACAGAAAATCTGTCTTGGGCCAACCAAGATTTGCCTACATAGCTACATGGTTTATGGTTGAAATTTGGAACACTTATCAATGAATGTCTATTCTATCAGATTCCTACGTCATCCTGGTGATTTTTTTACTATAACTTACTTTTTAATGCATTTATACATTTAAATTTATTTCTTTTAAATGTAAAATATAATTTTATTAATGGATGACGTAAGTTATTGAAATTTCGTCCTTTTATGCAGATGAAAATATAAAAATTATTTTATGTACCTTTTGCAATGTTAGCGAATATATTTTCAAACTTGACATGTTTAGCAACTTTTTCAAGTTTTTCATGTAAATTTATATTTACGTTACTAAACCAATGACGTAAAACATTAAAACTTCAAAACATTTTCTCTAATATTTTTTTGATTTTGTTTTATGACTTAATTATCTCTGTTTTAATTAACATAAAGTTTGAGTAATTTTTTTTTTTTGTTTTTATAATAGCCTAATAATGTTTATAACTTGTTAATAAATATTAGAAATATATGTTTTAAATTTTTTTGTTCATAAAAAGTAACAACAAATTACTAAAGTTCAGCCAATTTCATTATTTGTTGCGTTTTTTCTAAACTAAAAAAAGTTTTTTTACTATTGTATTAAATATCATATAAAACATTTTATTGTTGTTTTTATTCCTTGTACAAAACAAAATTATCTTTAATATTTTAAAAGTTATAAACATTTTAGTAACACGCCTTTTGTTAAAACTTTCAAAAAAAATCAAGAAGCCGTAAAGCTCACTCTGAAACACCCGTGCTAAATACTAAATACACACAAATAATTTAAACACAAATATATTTAATGAGATCTAAACTGTTAAAACAAATTCAAAACTCAATTATACTTAATAATTAAAAAGAACTCTGATGCTGATTACAAATTTTTTTTTTATAAGAAATGATTATTTTTGAAATAGTGCAGTTTGCAAAAATATACAACAAATCTTAATAAATATACAATAAACATTTTTGGGTAAAATTATTAATAGCTATTATATAAAAACTATAATAAAATATAATCAAGCACTAATTTTTATTAGCGCTGCTCACTTCAATAGAATAACAATGCATCACTATAAAACAAACTGTATAACTGTATAACAAAATGTCTTATCTTATCTAGCAATAAATATAGTGTTCAGGCCTTGTATTTCAAATTTTTTATGTTCTGGGCTTGCATATCTAATCTGGTGGTCTAGTAAAAAATAATGCGATATTTTGAGTCTCTCATAAAAGCAATTAAAGCATTATTAGATAAAAGTAAAAAAAAAAAACAATTATAAGATGCAAACCTGGACACCTCATGTTCATGCATGGTAGACTTCTCTTGGCTTCTTGTTGGGATTCAAGTGATGTATTTAAAAAGCTGTATTTATAACCAAATCCACATGTTTCACTACACTCACTCCATGTGCTCCACTCTCCTACATAAGTAGGAGAAGAATTCACGTAAAATTTAAATATACTATTTAACTTCATGAATTAATATTAAATATACTATTTAATATTAATTCATGAAGAACTTTTCATCAAAATAAAAAATATTTTTGAATAAATTAAACTAAAATTTAAAATTAACTTAAAAGATCAGTTTATCAAAATATTAAATAAAACTTATAAATGACATATAAAATATGATATTTAATGTGTAATATATATATATATATATATATATATATATATATATATATATATATATATATATATATATATATATATATAAATATATATATATATACATACATACATATATATATATATATATATATATATATATACATACATATATATATATATATATATATATATATATATATATATATATAGATATATATATATATATGTATATATATATATATATATATATATATATATATATATATATATATATATATATATATATATATATATATATATATATATATATATATATATATATATATGTATATATATATATATATATATATATATATATATATATATATGAGATTCGAGATGGGAGACTCAAAAACTTTGCTTACGATAGTAAAAATACTAATAGGAAAGTAGTTAGATAAGTCAGATTGCTCTCTAAAATTTTCAAAAATAGGGATAACAGATGCCACTTTCTAACAGGCTAGAAAAACATTTGTTAAACTTGAATTCATCTCCGCAAGGCCATGAAGGCCACTACAGTCGAGGAGGCTACTAAAGTTTTGATTGCAACCCATTTTCAATTCTATAACTCCAAAACACAAAACTTGATGAAAAAGGCAACCCATTTTCAATTCTATAACTCCAAAACACAAAACTTGATGAAAAAGGCCACACAAAAAGGCGGAGATTTAAGTTAAGTGTGGTACTACCAGGAACATGGTGGGGATAGAACTCAATCTATATGATATTTAAACATATGTGCTAAATATATGATGCTTAAACATATGTGCTACATTATATTTAAGTCAAATGTTGTGTGTTGTTTGTCAAATAAAATTTGGAGTGAAATGTTAAGTGTTGTGTAAAAAGTGATGTTTAACTTTTTGTGGTGTTGTGGTGGTGCATTAGTAATATGTTAAATGTTGTGCGGTGACATGGTAGTAATATGGTAAATGTTATGTGGTGGTATGTTGATAATGAATTAAATATTGCATAGCAGTGTGTTAGTAATATGTTAAATGTTGCATGTTATGTAGTAGCAAATTAGTAATATGTTTGTTGTTGTGCTGTGTGTGGTGGTGCGTTAGTGATATGTTAAATGTTGTGGTGAGTGGTGGTGCATTAGTAATGTGTTAAATATTGTGTGTGATAGAATGTGTGGTGATGAGTTAATAATGTGTTAAATGATGAGTGGTATTCTTTATATCAATGTTGTCACTAATTTTATTTCTTTAGGAAAAATATATTTCAGAAACTACAAATTTAAGACATTTAATTTAAAAATAAACACCTAATCTGTAGTAATTTTAAAATGGTGATTGTTTTGCAAGTTGACTTTAAATACTCTGTGAATGTGTACATTAGGTAAGAAAAGATTAATATGACCTTTTAAATCCTTTATTTGGTAACCATCAGAGAAATAAATTGAAAAAGCCATTTCTTATTTATATAGACATCCTGTCAATTTACTCTTATGAGTTCCAGATATATATATATATATATATATATATATATATATATATATATATATATATATATATATATATATATATACATATATATATATATATTAGCCTTTGGATAACTCCCACTGCAATCTTAAAAATTGTTTGTATTGGTTCTATATAAAACCCATATGCTCTGTTTGTATTTATGTCTGAACATAATGGACTATACATAAGACTTTTAAAATAAAGACTTAAAAACATAGAATAAAAACAATCAAGTATGTCAAGTATAAAACAATCAAATATATCAGTTTTACCTTTATAACAAGAGTAGCTTCCTATGCTGTTAACACATACATTGCTTGTCGTGTTGCAAATGTTACTTGAACTGCTGCATTCATCAATATCTAAAAATAGCAGGATATAACACAATTTTTTGTACAATAATACTTTCCTACTCACATGATACAAATCAACTTTAAAAATCAAAAAATTGTATTGTATCCTGTTCATAGGAAAGTCAGTACATCAAAAAAAAAAAAAAAAAAAATACTCCTTTTTTTTCTAAAATAACTTTGAAGAAACTCTTATCATAGCTTTTCGCTAAAACCTTAATCAGTTTACTAGGTTATTAATCTCCTGATTTCTAAGAAAGTTCTTTTCCTAGAGATTATTTCAAAAAATAATATTCTATAATATTTTGTACTTCTGGTAAACAAGACCTTACTAATACCTCTTTTCATAAATATTCATAAAAACTTATTTTATATAAATTAAAATAAACCTATTCACTAATGATTTATACAAAATATAAAGTGCTCCAACTGAAGTCATGAGAGGCTAATGCTAAATCTGATAATGTCCTCTTTAATCTATTGTTAAAAACTAATTAGAAAAAAGAACTTTCCATAGTGAAAGTTGTCTAACAAAAGCTATGAACTAGAAAAATAAAAACAAATTATATTTTGGTTTATTTTTAATTTTTCTCTCTAACATCCTTACTACCAACAAGGCTGCAAACAACTATTATTAAAGTTGGAAGTTACTGGAATTGAAAAGATGAAAATTATAGAGCAAATTAAAAGATAACTTAAAAGATTGCAAATTATATAAATCAGGAAAAATATAAGAAGATCTATATTGTTGCGATAACGATTAACTAAAAAAAAGTTTAGTTTTTACTGAGTTAAAGTTCACCAGCCACTGAGAGCCTCATGCTGCAGCAAAAGTGAGATCCTTTTTAAGTTCAAATGCCCCCTCCAAGCAATCAGAGAGTGTTGGCTCTCTTATTGCTAGGGCACAAGAATAAATGTTATTACCATTAGCAAACAATTCTAACTTAGATAAGAAAATTTATGGGAGATCGTTATCATTTTAAAAAACGTATATGGCCAAGGATAGAGCCTTGAGGAACTCCTGAAGTTACAGGATATGAAGAAGTGTGCTGTCCATTGAGGACAATTTTGAATAATACGATTGGAAATGAAGGATTCAATAAACCTAAAGATGCTACCTAAAATATGGTAAGAAAAGAGCTTATGGAAAAGACCAGCATGCCAAACTTTGACAAAAGCTTTATAAATGTAAAGAGCATTTACATTATTAGATTTAAGATGAGAGACTCAAAAACTTTGCTTATGATAGTAAGAGGACTAACAGGGCAGAGATGAGCCAGATCGCTCTCTGAAAATTTCAAAAATAGGGATAACAGATGCCGCTTTCCAGCAGGCCAGAAAAGAAGATTTTGATAAGCACTTGTTAAATAGTTTTGAAAGTATAGACAGCTTTATCTTTATTTTGATATAGATAGTGTTAAAGGTTTAAAAAAAAATTTTAAACCTTTAACACTATCTATATCAAAATAAAAATAAGGCTTTTTTTGAAATTACTTAATTTAATAACTTAATTTAATAAGAAAATGATTCACAAATAAACTTAATTTAATAACAAAATGATTCACAAGTAAAATTTATAATAACATTTCAAAGCTAACAATGTTTTATAATCTATAATTTATATAACAGATTGTATCTATGACTATCTAAGAGACTGTACAATAAAAAACACAGAGAAAATGCAGAGAAAAGAATAGGGCTAAAAATACTATTTTAAGTATATATATATATATATATATATATATATATATATATATATATATATATATATATATATATATATATATATATATATATATATATATATATACACATATATATATATATATATATAAATATATATATATATATATATATATATATATATATATATATATATACATACATATATATACATATATATATATATTAGTGTATTCTAGAAATAGAGTGCTTAATGTTATTAAAGGACAGAGCAATAATAAACAAAAAACACTTATCTAACTTTTTTCTTTAACAAAGTGTTTCTATATCAGTAGATTCATCAGGAAGATCAAGAAGATATATATATATATATATATATATATATATATATATATATATATATATATATATATATATATATATATATATATATATATATATATATATATATATAAATATATATATATATATATATGTATATATATATATATATATATATATATATATATATATATATATATATATATATATATATATATATATATATATATATATATATATATATATAGATATATATATATAAACTACATAAAAAATGGACATGGGCTTAAAACAGGGACCATAAGAAGATCACTTGTTTCAAAAAAAATTTGTTGAATGTCTGATAAAATTGTGTGTAATATGTAAAACATGGTAGATGTAGTATGAAGGTCTAAGGCTGCTTTGGTCAAAATACAAGTGGCATTGTGAAAATAGAGAGAACAATGACAAAAGTAATTTACAAGGACACTTTAAAAGTCATGCTATACCTTTAAAATGTTGGGTTGATAGACGCCATTTGTTTTTTAAGATAAAAATGAGTTGAGCTTAAACCCAAAACATATTCTTTACAAAATTGTATGTTGTTTCACTGAGTTCAAGAAGGATGAAATAGGGTAGAGCAGGGCATATAGGGACACTTAAGAAACAAATACTAGTTGCGGATACACTAATCATCTTTAAAATTGATTTTTATAAATTTTTTAAAATTCATTGATATAAGAAAGTAAAAAAACAAAAAAAATTTCTAAAAGTAAGTTTTCACAACCAAAGTAACGAGACTCTAGACTAGCAAAACTTTTATATTTTGCAAATAGGTGGGGCAAAATGGGACAGTTAAAAAGCAGCAGTTATTCTTCAATTTTTGTGTGAAAAAATATCCTGAAACTATTTGGCAACATTTTTGATGAGCTATTAGCATTATGTCGAGGTAGAGCAAACTTAAATATGCCATATGTACCAGCAGCTTTTCTAATTATTTTAATCTTTTCTAATCCTTTTTAGTTATAGCTAAAACCAAATTTTAACTCGTTTGGATGATTGACCTTTCTTTTATAACTTTTTAACTTTTTCGTTTACATAAAACATAATAAATAATTAAAGTTAATGTATAAAAAAAAGAGTTTCTTTAATTTTATGGCTAAAATTGATTTTCTAAATTAAAAAATATATATTTTAGATTAAGAATAAAATCACCAAACTGTAAACAGCATCACGAAATGGTAGTAATATACTCAATTATATAAATAGCTTGTTGTCCCACTATGCCCCACAAAAGTCATTTTACTAAAATTAATGCTATTCAAAAAGTTCAACTCCAAATAACTTTTTAAAACCAGATTCTAAAAAGGATAAAAATGCTGTCTGAAAAATATAAATGTTTAAATAAAGCAAACTCGCAAGTGCAAATAAAGATAAATCTTTTGTCGCTGTATCACTAAAAAAAATATGCAAGTTTTTTTTTTTACAAACTTACTTATGCATTTTGGTACTTTCAACGCATTTTGGTATTCTGAAATTAAATTTTTTTCACAATAATGAAGCACAATAATTTAAAATGTTTTATCTATAAAAAATTTTGAAAAAAAATTATTTTATATGAGATATAAAGTTTCAGGCATAACTGTCCCATTATGCTCAACTGTTTTTAAAATACCCCACTCTACCTTAATAAATACAATGATTTAGCTTTTTATACTAATTATTAAATAAAATGATTTAACCTCCCCAATCACAAACTCACTTTCCTACCAGATTATTATAGGAAGAATAAAAAGTAATGTCAAAAACTAATGCCTAATAATGCATAAGGTGTTAAAAAAACTCTATTGACTTCGACAAATTGAATAAGTTGATGAGTAAAAAGTCAAGAATATGTATGTCGGGTAATGTTGCTTAGGGTGAATAATAGGCAAGTAAATTATAAACTAATAAGACTTCATATAAACTTTTTAGCAAACCTAATAAATAGGAAGATAACATATAATTCAGATTTTGTTTTCAGTTTTTCTCCCAATATTAAGTAAAACTTTGATATCTCATATCAAAAAATACAACCATTCAAATAATTATGGAAAGTAATGAATTTATATATATATATATATATATATATATATATACATATATATATATATATATATATATATATATATATATATAAATATATATATATACATATATATATATATATATATATATATATATATATATATATATATATATATATATATATATATATATATATATATATATATATATATATATATATATATATATATATATATATATATATATATATATATAAATCACCTTAAAAACCATGTTTAAATACCACGAGAGAAAACGTGCTTTGATCCCATTTTGTTGTGATAATGAGAACTCTAAACTAAAGTCTACAATAATGTAAAAATAAACAAAAATGACAACTGGTAAGAAAACAATGAATGGATTAAATTTGCTATTTATAAACTCATTTTTATTTTTTTTTATCAGCTCAATTTTATTTTAATTTGTTAATGATCCCCACCACACCCCTGATAGTACCGCGCTCAACTCATTTCTCCACGCAGCGGCCTAGTTCATCAAGGTTCATGTTTCGGAGTTATAGAGTTGAGAGAGGGTTATAGCCACAAATAAGTAGCCTCCTTGTCTGTAGTGGCCTTCTCGGCCTTAAGAAGGTGAATTAAAATAAAAAATAAAAAAATAAAAAAATGAACAACATTCAACAGTATAGATGCAAGTTGGCTATAAACTGTATTTGATTTAAGAGCATTCAAAAATTCATTTTTAAATACTCTTGAATCAGCATTTCCAGCAGTAAGTTGCCTTATATATTAAATGTATATATACATGTATATTAGAATTTACTTTTAAAACTACCAGAATTGTACAAGCTTTTTAATCTTTTAAAGTTTATTACAAGGTTTTCCTAATGTTTATACTGATTTAAAAAAATAAAAACTTAAAAATTTAAAGAAAAATATTAAAGTCATGTATTTTAGTCTTTAGAGTGTGTTAAATCAATTAAAAATAAACTTAATTTTAGAAAATTTACTACGAATGGTCATCAGACAAACTTTTGTTAAGATAATAACAAAACGTTTTTTAAACAAAGTTTAAACTAGTTTATGACTATTTTCTTAAGTGTGGAATGAACTTAAAACAAAAACAGTTAACCCCTATCACAAAAAATTCAATTCTATATAAGATAAAGGTTTTACATAGGCTAAAAATCAAACAGAAAAAAAAACATAATAGATTAATACAGCCTGTTGGGGTTCTGAACAAAGCCAAATATTGAGAAATAATAGGAACTCCAGGACTTTTGATGCAAGACTTCAACTTTGCATCCTTGCATACTGGTGCCAAAGATTTTTTGATTATATTGCTGTAAATAAAGATTGTGAGAAAAGCTTGTAAGAATCCATGTAAAAGATATACTACTTATGTTAAACTTTCAGTACTTAAAATAACTAAAATAAATAAATAGAACTTTATCAATTTTTTTGACAAAATAATATTTACTGCCATTTTTGAATAAAAACAATAGGTATGAGAAGCCAGTGAGCCAACCAAAGCCAGTGGGATAATATTTTAAAAAAAGTTTTCTGTGCTCAAGTTAAATCAAATTCAAGTCTTGATTAATTAAAATTTAATCAAAAACATAGTCAAAGTCAAAAAATTTTGATTTAAAAATAGCTGTGAATAAGTACATGTGTGAATAAGTACATAACCTATGATGTATTTTTTAAAGATTTTTTAAACAATGATCTTTAACATAACTTGCACATTTTTATATTACTATTTTTCCATAGCTGATATAAAGAAAATCTTATAACATGATAATGTGGTCCTTGTGGCTAACCAGAAAAATAAAAGGCTAAGATGAAATTTAAAAACATTAAAAAAACAGACCACGACAGCTGTTGTTATATTCATCCAATGTCCATCCAAATTTGCAAGTACAACTGTAACTTCCATTGGTGTTGATGCAGTCACTGTTTGGCAAGTTGCAATATTCGGTTACGTTTGTGCATTCATCAATATCTGAAAACAATTATTAAACAATATATAAAATAAACTGAATAAGTCTACATAGGTCAACTATAAAACCAATATAAATATGGGTGCAGCATGTTAAAGTAAAAATCTTTTATGTGTAAAATGAACTTGCGTATCTTTATATTTTAAACAATGATTAAAAATACTATAATTGATCCTAAATAATACTTAATGATTTAAACTTCATGCTGGAACAACTAGATTACATCAATATAGCTAGTGAATCCACGGCGCTACAAAAAAATTTGACGCTTGACCAAAAACACCTTTTTTTTTTCTCAACGTTTAAAAACTTTAAGGTCAATTTAGTTGAAAAAAACTTTTTTTAAAATAGTTCCTTGTCCAAAAGGCAAGTATAGCCTTTACTCTCTCTTAATCAATTTTTTATTTATGTTTTCTTAAAGATTTGATGCTTAGGAATTTTGTTTTAAAATTATGTATGCATTATATGCATTTTTTTTGCATATTTTATGACGTTTTTTGTTTTGGTTTTTATGTTTGTTTACTAAATTATAAATAAATTTTTGTGTTAGCTTTATGAAATTTGATGTTTTTTTATTTTTTTTATTTACTTAATTAGAAACTTAAATAGTAGCTAAATATGGGGGTTTGTTTTATGAAAATAATATATAACTGCTAAAAATAGTATACAAATCTTTGTTCTTTCTCTTTTTAATACCATTTAATAATCCTTATTAGGGATAATTTCTTATATACACCCTTAAATTATTTCTTATTCACATCCTTAAATTAAGGCCTAATAAGGATGTGAATAAGAAATAATTTAAGGGATATAAAATAAGAAATAGTTCTTATTATAATGATTATTTCTTATTCACATCTTTATTAAGATTTAATTTGGTTCAATTGGTTAATCTTATACTCTTTTCTAACAACTGTTTTGTTGACATTTCTGAAAATTATATTTTGACAAGACTGTCTGGTGTTTAGTTTTATATTCATTAAATTTTCTAATAATTTCTCTATTTTGTAAATAAAGGTGATTAATTCAGGAAACTAGCAAATTAATTCAGTTGCTAGCAAATTATCAACATTATTAAATTATGTAAGATTGACTTTTTATCTATTTTTATTTCCAACAATGCTGGAAGCCACCACTTTTATAGTTGGTAATTACTGGAAGAACTAAGATGAAGATAGTAAAGCAATTAGTAACGATTAACAGACAACTAAAATTATTGCAAATTATTTAAATCAGTAAAACAAGATGAATGGGGTATTATAAAAAACTGTTCTAGAAAAAAAACTAGACAAATAAGATTTTTTAGAGCACATAGGAGCAATAAAATACTATATTATTGTATACAAATACTAACTTTGCAATGATTTGTATATAAGGTTTCCATGATAAGTCAGTACAAAAAGATAATCAGAGACAATGTAAGGTAGAAGACACAGTAAAAATGTTGCCATTCATCAATATAGGAATATCAACAAGATTGCTAAGACTTTTTAAAGACTTCGCCAATTACACCATATCATCCAGAGCAATAAAATGTGTCTCACCGCCTCCATGTAATTATAATTTCAAACCTTTCTGAAACAATAGTTAACAGGTCAACTCCAAATTGAGATGATTCAAATCCATGTTTCTTATGTTATCGACAAAAAGAGCCACCTGTGAGTTTTTCAGGATGACCTTCAATGTTGCTTTTTACCAGTGAACTTTTCAAGATCATTAACGTTGGTTAAAAATATTAAAGGGCTGAGGATAGAAGTTAACATTGTTTGCTAAGTCTTAACACTAGTGTAAATTTGCAGCGTTTAGTGCCACAGGGTCTGTATGTTTTGTGATTGTGATATTACTGTTGTGATGTTTTGTGTTGATAGACAACTTGGCTTACCTTCTGGCTGGTGTCTATTGTTAAAAAATGATTATTAGGTTGTTTCATTACTGAAACTTGCTACTTCTAATCATTCATTAAAAGCCAAGAGATAAGTTGTATAATCACATTTTTTGTTTTAATGTTGTTGTTTTTATCTTAGGTGATGTCAATAGTTCACATAAACATTCTCAAAGAGTAAGTTTCTTATTTTATATTTATTTAGTTTTAATTGTTAATTTATAACTTTTTTTTTAATTTTTAAATTAAAAAAAAAGTTATAAATTTTAATTTATTTTTTTAAATCAGTATAAACATTAGAAAAACCTTGTAATAAACTTTGAAAGATTAAAAAGCTTGTACGATTCTGGTAGTTTTAAAAGTAAATTCTAATATACATGTATATATACATATAATATATAAGACAACTTACTGCTGGAAATGCTGATTCAAGAGTATTTAAAAATGAATTTTTGAATGCTCTTAAATCAAATACAGTTTATAGCCAAATTAGTAAAACAAATTAACAAATATATTTTAATAATTATTGTGTATCTGTGTTTTTAAATAATAATTTTATTACACTTTTAGAAGAGTTTCTGCTGTTACACTTGCAATTCTTGATGTATGTAATAATAATTTTAGGAAGTTCTATTGATGTAAGTTATTTTCATTTAAATTTAAATTATAACTTTATTTATGAATCTTCTGTCTGTTAAATAGGTAATTCTGAATGTTTCAGATAGATTTCAAAGCCCTTACGCAGTAATTTACTAATCAGACTGTAAATTAGGCAATAATTTTATACAGATGAATTAATTCGATTCTACTATCCTTTATGCATATTTGCATGGAATTTTTATATAACACGAAATTTTATTTTTCAAGACTAGGTAAATAAGTAAAAACACTTCAGTTTGTAAAATTAACAATTCTAGATAATCCCGACAAATGTAAAAAAAATTATGCCATTTAATATTCTTAAAGTTTTGCATCCCTATCGAAAATTCAAAAGTCAAACATAATAACAGTTGGAAATTATGAAATATAATCAAATTGCCCAATTGGTTTATGCAACACTTTTGTAGTAATATACTGACCGGTCTACAAATGATATCTCTGCAATACTTTTAAAATGATGTATTTTACAGATTCCATGATTCTTTTATGCATATTTTTTATGGTTACTTTAACTTTTGTTCTTCATTATATAATTAAGTAAAAAAACTTCAGTCTATAAAATAAACAATTCTGTGTGATTTCGACAGATTTAATAAAAAATGAATCACTATTTAAAATTTAAAATCAAAAGTAGTTACAGTTCAAAAATAATAAATGTATTTTAAGTCGATATGCCCAATTGGTTTGTAACTTATGCAATAATTTCATTGACAGGTGTGTAAATTATGCAATAGTTTTTAAATTATGTATTTTTTGAGTTCTATGATTCCTTTAAGCATATTTGAATGGTTTAATTATAACTTGACTCCAAATTTTATTCTCCAAAAAGAAAAAAATAATATAAAAACTATCAGGCTGTAAAATAGATGATTCTAAGCAATCACAACAGATTTTCTTTAAAAAATTTTGGTTTTCTATTTTAGTATAGTTGTTTGATCACTGTGAAAAATTTAAAATTAAATATAATCACGATTTAAAAGTTATTAAAAAGTCAGAATGACATTTCTGACAGATTTAAAAAAAAAATTGGAATTTTATTTTCTTAAAGTTTGTGGGTCACTATGAAAGATATCAAGTCAAATGTATTAACGGTTCAAAATTTTTCAAAAGTCAATATGACCCAAAAAATAAATTAGTACAAATCCTTAGTCTGTAAAATAGACGATCCTGGTCATTCCCGATAGATTTTTAAAAAAACATTTTGGAATTTTCTTTACTTATAGTTGGTCGGTCACTGTGGAAAATTTCAATTCAAATGTATTAACGGTTCAAAAGTTTATTAAAGGTCAATAATACTCTCATTTTCGGTGCAATAACATAGCAAATTTTCCATACTTAAGCCCTATACCTTTTGTCAAAAATACATCAATTTTTCCACCATAAAAAATTCAATAACTTTTTATCCGCTTAACTTCAAAGACCGACTGACCCCTTATTTTTGAAGTCAAGCTTTCCATAAGCTTTCTTCTTGCGGTGTATCTGGAAACATCTTTAAGATTATTGAATCCTTTCTTTCCAATCGTTGTATAAAAGTTGTCCTTGATGGACAGCACTCTTCTTTTTATTCTGTAACCTCAAGGGTTCCTTAAGGTTCAATCCTATACTCTTTTTAATTTACATTAAAGATCTTCCAGATATTTCACATCTAAGGTGGTATTGTTCACTGATGATACTACCATTTATTCTTGTCACAATAAGAAGCCAACTCCCTCTGATTGTTTGCAGGGCATTTGAGCATGAAAAAGATCTCACTTCTGCTACAGCATTGGGCTCACAGTGGCTGGTGAACTTTAATTCAGATAAAACTCAATTTATTCAGCCAATCCTAATCGCAATAATTTAGACCTTCCTATATTTATAAACGGTAATGTAATAGATAAGTCATCTACCCTTTATCTTCAAGGTTTAACTCTTACTTCTAATCTTTATTGGAAACCTTATATCAAATCCGCTGCAAACTTAGCATCTGCTAAGTTTGCAACGGATTTGATAAGTTGCATCTCTTTATCGAGCTCAACACTTTCTTACTCTGGATTCATTCTCTATCTCTATAAATCTCAAATCCGGCCTTGTATGGAATACTGTTGCTGTATCTGAGGCAGATCTTCTAATGATGCCCTTTCTCTTTTATACAAGGTGCAAAAACGCATTGTAAACTTAGTAGAACCTGCTCTTGCAGCCAACCTTCAACCTTTGTCACATAGTCGTAATGTTGCTTCTCTTTTTCTTTTCTACAAATACTTTAATGGGAACTGCTCTAAAGAGCTAGCTTCTCTTGTGCCATTTATTAAAACTCATTTTCTTGTTACTCGTCATTCAATTAAGTCTAATTCTTTTTCTGTTACTGTTCGTAGGTGCTCTAAAACCTCTTATTCTTCTAGTTTTTTTCCTCAAACATCAGTTCTTTGGAATTCGCTTTCTTCATCTTGCTTTCCGGATTCATATAATTTGCAATCTTTT